ATGTTTGCATCATATTTAAAAAAAATTATGAAAATTATTAGGCACCAAATTAAAATTTATTTTATTTTTCATTCCCAAACTAACAGTCATGCTAAAATGGCTAACCACACTTTGGAAAATTTATATGTTTGGTCATAAAAAAAAATTAGTAATTTAAAATTTACATTTTTGAAAATTTGAATTTTATTAAAATAATACCATCCTTAGAACTATAAATAAATCCTTTTATTAAATATTTTATTGGCAAAATGCTATTTGTCTAATTAATATTGCAAACTTACTATTTCATGCAAATGTTAATGTAATTTCTCATTTTCTAATGACTTTTAGAGCCTTCATGAAAATATAAGAAATTAAATTATTATTAATAATGTATTAATGTTTAAAAGCCAAGCCATAATCATTAAGTAAAAGAGTATAAAGAATATGGCTATATTTTGATTTACATTCACCTTGAGCATTGTTAACCCATTAGAGATATGATATTACAAGCACAAAATTATTTAGTATCATTTTTGGTTCATTAGAAGAATAATTCAATATAGATAAACCACCCATTGAACTAGTTATAGATTATCATTTTTTAGTCATTATAATAATAAATCATTTATTGATGACACATGCCTGACACGTGTTGAATTGGAAACTCTAGTCTTATATTGGATAAATAACTTCTTGAAATTAAATTCTATAAAAAATTTAATTTGGTCAACTTATCACATTATATAGATCATTCATAAGAACTAGATGATCAAATTATAAGATCCCAAGCAAAGCCCAAGAAAATGCCTATTAAAGAGCAAAAGCTCATCACAAGAGCCCAATAAAAAGAAATAATTAAAATTAAGATTTTATTATTTAAATATTAAATTTAGGTTCTAGAAATTTAATATTTTAAAATTTGAGGAATATATTGGTTATATATTTAATAAAAAAAATAATAATAAAACTATGAAGTTGATTAGCTCCACCATTCAGTAATGTCCACCCATTTTTCCCTTCAAAGCTTTCATCTTCTTATTTTAAATTATAATTAATCAAATCCATATACATATAGCTGGTATGTAATAAAATTTTTAAGTTTGAGGATTAATTAAATTAGTTTACATTTTTCTTCTCTTTGTGTTAGTTCATGGTGGCATAGCTTAACCTCTTCCTGACGGGATTGGCTAGTTATCTTATAAGTACTTTCTAAATATCTCCAAATATCTTCTTAATAACTCTCACACCATAATCCATATTTTAAATAAAAATTAATCAGATCCACCTTCCACCTAAGCCTTCAAACTTAGTCCTTAAGCATAATGTATCTCATTACCAAGCTAGTTGAAAAGCTACAAATATTTTTCCTATAAAAATCCATCAACAGTTTCAGATCAAAAGTACAAGCCCTAAATTATTTATTCATCATCATTTCACCTATCTATATCACTTAATTTACTAAATATTTCTCTCAAATTAGCCTAAACTAGCTTAATGTAGCCTAAACTTGGGCTTCTTTCAAAGAAAATCTCTCTAATAGCCTCAAGTTCCTGCCATGTATTCTAGTTCATAATTTAATATCCTAATCTATCCTTTTACCATTAAATCTAGCCATTTAAACCACCTAAGTTCATTCCCCAAGTTGATCATCCAAACTAACCCACCCAAATTGGACCAATCTTGGTATTCCACCGAATTGTTATAACCCGCACATTTTCAAAAATAAATAAATCAAATCTTAAGACAATAAACTAAATTCTCATATTCATTTTGAGCCAATAATCACACTAAAAGTCATCCATTATAATAAATGTGTTGAGTGGCTTATTCAGACATAGAAAGTTGCATGTGCAAGATGGATCTGGCAAGGATGACAAAGAACTTGATTCAGTTCTACCTCAAGAATAGTAAATATTTCCTCTCAAGTATACAGGTGAGTTTGCCTAATATCTATGGAGGATGCTTCAAACTCCATTTTGTGAGTTTTGTTGGAGCCTAATTAATGAATCTTACTGAACCTAGCCAGCAAGTCTGTTCTAGTCTTATGCTAGTGTGCACATCTATGGACATGGCTAGCAAATATCTTGAACCTATCCTAATGAATTTTTCCTAAGCTCATCTTAACAAGCTTTTCTTCTTGCTGCTCTTTCAATCAAGCCAACCTTAGGGGTGTATATATATAGCATGATGTGCTATTGCTAACCAGTAATTAAACACTAAAAAATTTTAGTGATCTAACTATGAAAAAAAAAATTTATGAAAATTATTAGGCACCAAATTAAAATTTCTTTTATTTTCATTCCCAAATTAACACTCATGCTAAAATGGCTAACCACACTTTGGAAAATTTATATGTTTGGTCATAAAAAAAATTAGTAATTTATGACCAAATTATATGTTTGGTCATAAAAGAAAATTTATATGTTTGGAAAATTTATATGTTTGGTCATAAAAGAAAATTTGAATTTTATTAAAATAATACCATCCTTAGAACTATAAATAAATCCTTTTATTAAATATTTTATTGGCAAAATGCTATTTGTCTAATTAATATTGCAAACTTACTATTTCATGCAAATGTTAATGTAATTTCTCATTTTCTAATGACTTTTAGAGCCTTCATGAAAATATAAGAAATTAAATTATTATTAATAATGCATTAATGTTTAAAAGCCAAGCCATAATCATTAAGTAAAAGAGTATAAAGAATATGGCTATATTTTGATTTACATTCACCTTGAGCATTGTTAACCCATTAGAGATATGATATTACAAGCACGAAATTATTTAGTATCATTTTTGGTTCATTAGAAGAATAATTCAATATAGATAAACCACCCATTGAACTAGTTATAGATTATCATTTTTTAGTCATTATAATAATAAATCATTTATTGATGACACATGCCTGACACGTGTTGAATTGGAAACTCTAGTCTTATATTGGATAAATAACTTCTTGAAATTAAGTTCTATAAAAAATTTAATTTGGTCAACTTATCACATTATATAGATCATTCATAAGAACTAGATGATCAAATTATAAGATCCCAAGCAAAGCCCAAGAAAATGCCTATTAAAGAGCCAAAGCTCATTTTAAGAGCTGAATAAAAAGAAATAAATAAAATTAAGATTTTATTTTTTAAATATTAAATTTAGGTTCTAGAAATTTAATATTTTAAAATTTGAGGAATATATTGGTTATATATTTAATAAAAAAATGAAAAATAAAATTATGAAGCTAATTAGCTCCACCATTTAGTAATGTCCACCCATTTTTCCCTCCAAAGCCTTAAAACTTAGTTCTTAAGCATCATGTATCTCATTACCAAGCTAGTTGAAAAACTACAAATATTTTTCCTACAAAAATCCATCAACTGTTTCAGATCAAAAGTACAAGCCCAAAATTATTCATTCATCATCATTTCCCCTATCTATATTTATCTATATCACTTAATTTACTAAATATTTCTCTCAAATTAGCCTAAACTAGCTTAATGTAGCCTAAACTTGGGCTTCTTTCAAAGAAAATCTCTCTAATAGCCTCAAGTTCCTGCCATGTATTCTAGTTCATAATTTAATATCCTAATCTATCCTTTTACCATTAAATCTAGCCATTTAAACCACCTAAGTTCATTCCCCAAGTTGATCATCCAAACTAACCCAAACTAACCCAAATTGGACCAATCTTGGTATTCCATCGAATTGTTATAACCGTCACATTTTCAAAAAAAAATAAAATAAAACTAAATCAAATCTTAAGACAATAAACTAAATTCTCATATTCATTTTGAGCCAATAATCACACTAAAAGTCATCCATTATAATAAATGTGTTGAGTGGCTTATTCAGACATAGAAAGTTGCATGTGCAAGATGGATCTGGCAAGGATGACAAAGAACTTGATTCAGTTCTACCTCAAGAATAGTAAATATTTCCTCTCAAGTCAACATCTGAGTTTGCCTAATATCTATGGAAGGTGCTTCAAACTCCATTTTGTGAGTTTTGTTGGAGCCTAACTATAGAATATTACTGAACCTAGCCAACAAGTCCGTTCTAGTCTTATGCTAGTGAGCACATCTATAGACATGGCAAGCAAATATCTTGAACCTATCCTAATGAATTTTTCCTAAGCTCATCTTAACAAGCTTGTCCTCTTGCCGCTCTTTCAATCAAGCCAACATTAGGGGTGTATATAATAGCATGATGTGCTATTGCTAACCAGTAATTAAACACTTAAAAATTTAAGTGATCTAACTATGAAAAAATAAAATTAAATTAAGCACACGTGTTTAACCTAAATTTATAATAATCAGCTATTTTTTAATGATGAGCAATAAAAGACCAAGCATGAGAAATTAAATACCCTTGCCTTAACCCAACATAAAATAATAAGATACTTTTTTAATGATGAGCGATAACAGATTAAACAAGTGAAACAAATTTGTGACTTTGAATAAAAAATTTTCTTTTTCAATCACAAGCCCGTGCACGTAATTAATTATCGAAAACGAACACTTTAAACAATCCCAAAACTATGACAATTTACAAAATCATATCAAGATCAAGAATAGGCAAGCAACTCAAGGCCAAATAAAAAGCAAATATAAAAGAAATGGTAGATAGGATGTGGGATATTGGAACTAAGAGAGGAGAAACTTGAGTAGGCTTGAGGTAGTTTAAATGTAATTACGAAGCGATGTCATTGCTAATACTTCAACGTTATCATACTTCTCTTTTCTAATCTCAAATCCTCTTTATTATTGTAAAGCTCTTACAATTACTATGGAACAGGTTTGTATCAAATCTCATTTCTCCCCACTTTTTTGAACTTTTGATTTCTTCCATGTGAAGAATATTGATGTCAAGCATAAAGCAGTTCACCATCTAATTTCTGCATAAATTTTTTCTGACCTGTTAGATGATATTTTAAACATTGAGACAAATTATGAGTTATTGGAGAAAGTCAGTGCTGAGAGACACTCTTCTTTTTTTTCTTAAACCAATTAAGCAACATAACAATTTATTACTTTGTTTCTTTTGACTCATAACAAAATTGTCTCTGCCTACAATTGTTCTATAATCAGGCAAAGATAATAAGGACATAAGATTTCCTACAAGAAATCTGACCAAATTCCATTATAATTTTGAATACCTACATGAAGTCATGTAGTTTTATAAGATATTTCTTGCCACTCATAGGGGACATTTACTACATGGCTTCTATAAGCAGACCAAAATTATTTCTTCTCTTCCTTTTTCTCCTCCTTCTTCTCTTCCTTCTTCTCCTCCTTCTTCTCCTCCTTCTTCTCTTCTTTCTTTTCCTCTTTAGCCGGTCCAACGGATATGATGTCAACCTTCCCTATTTTCCTCAGCTTCTTCGCGATTGCTACTGAGTCCATCTCACCAATGACAGTCAGTTTCTGCTCCTTGAGATCAGCAGCTATGGAGTCAATCCCTGATTAATAAAAGTAGTTGATAGAATGAAGTAAAGCACAAATTAAGAATAAGTTTAATGGTTTAATCATGCAAATTTTCTTGTTCCAAGCATGACTTATGATAAATTGTTATTTTCCATGATTCATCTCCATTATATGATGCTAATCTCATTACAGTACTTGGAGCTATTATTGAAAAAGAAGTTTAAGGGAAATAATTGGGAAAACTAGTAAAACTCTTACAGTACAAAAAACCATAGTTTTAATTTTGAAATACAAAAAATTATATAAAATAGCCTACCTCGCATTAGTTTTTCACTGGATCAAGTCATTTGGATATCTCTCATCTAAGCATTATTCATCATCTCATGACAAAAAAGAAAAAAAAAACAGGAATGCTTCACAGTTGAAATATCATGGAAAAATGAATTCTAAATCTGGTTGATGATCTAAATTTCTTATTTTCTCATTTTGGAGAAATTTGGGGCTTCTTTTTTGTTGCCAGCTTTTGCTTATTTGACTCTGCTACCAGACTTATCAGGACTCAGTTGTTGCTTTTGGAATAGTATCTCTATTTAAAATCTGAAAGAACACTTTTTCTCTTAAAATCTGGATTTCTGACTGATATCCACCAGATCTCCATCTACTAGATTAAGAATTTCTATTTATGAGAATTTCATGACAGAAATTAGGCTGGTAGGATTTTAGAAAGTATAACCACATAATTTTCTACCAAAGGAAAGCTTAATCAGATTCAAAGCCATGTATAGGGAAAATACCATAGATATCAGCCACAGCTTCTATGGCTTTCTGCTTCGTCTTCTCATCATTCATGGCAAGAACCTTTACAACAACCTTTTGCTATTTCTCAAACCAAAGCTAGTAAGAATCCATGAACATAACATAAGTTTTAAAACAGAATAATTCAGCTACAGAGTGATTTGCTTACCTGTACCATCTCACAAATTGTAAAGGGATGCTGATCTCACTTTGCAGATGTGAAGTGCAATAGTTGAATGGAAGGTTTGACATGAACTTCTTTCTTTTTCCTCGGCCATATATAGTGCTTATGCTCATTTGTTCCTGCGGAACAAGTTTAGTACCAGCTAGAAGAAGATTTGATGATTAAACTTTGCATAGTTATCCCCGGGAAACAGTATAAGTGGGGGATAAGCGTGTTAAAAGTAGGCAATGAATGTGAGGACACATCTTTCTTAGTGCAGCAAAAGACGCCTCCTGCAAGATGGAAAAGGACAGCATTTAATCTGATTTATTTTTAAAAACTGGAGCTTTCGGAGATTTCAGTATTATGAATACTTTATAAAAAGTTGCGTTTTTTTTTTAATTTTTATTTCTAATATATAGTTTTTTTAAAAACTGGAGCTTTCGGAGATTTCAGTATTATGAACATTTTTATAAAAAGTTGCCTTTTTTTTTATAAAATTTTTGTTTCTAATATATAGTTTTTTAATCACTGGAGCTTTCGGTGATTCCACTATGAAGAGTTTCAAATTCAAACGGATATTGCAATTTTGTTGAACAAATTGAAATGGTCAAAGTTAAAATAATACATTTGGTGTGAATTGGGCATAGGATGTTAGAATGTTGGTACTGAATAGACTAGTTCATTTGACCATGCTTTATAGCCTATAGGTAAATTTGGTTAAATGGGGAAACATGTCTCAGTTAGACTAATTTAAAAGGTAAAAGAATTGGAATTATTGCCTAATGAAATTAATTGTGGCAATTAATTAAGACTCTGTGCCAACTCCCACGACAAGATTGGCTCATGGTATGGTCATTAATCATGTGTTAATACCATGTCTAAATGTTTTATTATTAATACATACATCTAATGTGAATTTCATAACAATAATTGGGTAAAGTACCTATCTAGTGACCCATGGCACTTCCTAGCCATCTAGGGGGTTTAATGCTAATTGATGACAATAAATCACATAACTTTATGATGATAGAACCGTGGATAAGATCAATTCATATCTATAAAAGAACTTTTTAAAACTTATATAAGAGGAGAGCCGTTGAGCTTACTTGAGCTTAGATGAATCCATCGAACACCTGAAGATTGTTTCCTCTTACTTAGACTAGCTGGAATGGAAATAATGACTGAATAAAGCTTGAATTTTGGTCAAGATGATTATCTAATAGAAGATTAGTTATATCTTACCTTACGAAGGGTGTGAAGATACTTTACTTTGAGCTTGATAACTCATGCAACTGAATCCTCTAAATCATTGCAAAATAATGTATACTTTGGTCTATAGAATGATTAAGTTACTATTAATTGAGTTAAGTCATCTCTGTGTAGCTTTAGGTTCATTAAAGCCTTCAATTTAAGGGTTTTGCATGAAGGAACTTAGGAGTTAACTGCCCTAGTTTTCAGCAAATTCAGACAGACAAAGAAAATGATCTACCAAATATTGGGTCCATTTTATATAGAATCTAATAATTTAGATAGATGCAAGCCTCGATTCAATCTAATAATACAATAAAATTGAGAATTTTCGGGATTCTTCCTAACTCAGAGAATCCAAAGACAAAAGTTAGACCAACAATTCTCAAGATTTATAGAATTATTTAAGAAATAAACATTCCTTTTGTCAAGGTAATAGAGAAAATGCCCAATTATGCAAAGTTTATGAAGGATATTCTTAACAAAAAGAGAAATTTTGAGGATTATGAAATTTTAGCTCTTAGTGAGGAATACAATGTTATTATACAGAAGAAACTTCCTCTGAAGCTTAAGGGTCTCGGGAGTTTTACTATCCCTTGCACAATTGAAGAATTTTTT